TTGGCACTGTACATGCAATATTTCGACTTAAAACACATGCAAAAGTCGGGATTAACGTAAAAAACTTACCTTGCTATCTGCGTGCGGGGTGGATGCAACAGCCCTTTTCCATCGATCGGCACTGATGCACGGCCAATATTGACACAATCGATCTATTTCATCGCAACGAATCGATTTATTGAAGCTTTTCACCGTGACAATCACTCGGAAACGCGAATTTTCCTTTTACAAGCCATCAGGCACGCTGCAGTTTTTCACGAGCTTTGAGCGCGGCACCGGCACTTCGATTCTACCGATGAAGATGTGATAGAGGGAGTGGTAAAAGGGCGCGCATTCAAATTTTCGTGCATTGGAACTACTTTCCGTTACATTTTCTGCGGCTGATTTTTACGTTGCAGACTTCGTTTTAGTTGTTTATTTGTAATGAATTTTCAGTGGGAAGCCCATCGCTTTACTTCTAGGTACTTTTGCAAACTCGGATCAGAGGCGTATACACGGTATGTTGTAAACGTTGGGCCGATGCCCACCTTAAATAATTTGTATTGCCATGGGCATACGTTCGTGAAGGTGAAATCTTTGTCCAAAGTTTCTCCCAAATCGTACTAGACGACTCAACTTCTACGGTTAACTTCTGGAAGTTGCTGGTGAAGGCTACGGTTTTCGCCTTGTCCGGCTAGCGGTTGGCCCATATGGTAGTCGTTAAATGGCGACATCTCGTTCTGAGGAGGTTGGGTTGTTGGCCACGATGATTTCTAAGGGTAGATCGGTAACTTTAACCTTGAACGTGCACTGCGGTGAGTTGCTGTGTAGTGTTTGGATAACTACACGACCGAAGTTGGTCATAGTGTCCGTAGAACTTCACTAAGGACCCCGAGAACGCTCTCACAGTGATCTTTCCCAGGTTGTAGAACTTGACTGATGTTTGATGATTTCTATGAGTGGAGTCTTGGAGCTGTTTTGGCAGTGGGGATTCCAAGACGATTGATTATACGCTGCCACTAACGTACGATCTCAGCTTGCAAGGCTAAATTCTGTATTTTTGGCCGCCATGGTTTTTGTGGTGACCATGTTCCTTAGCGGTTAGCGCTGGTTTCCAGCCTGTGACCTCTCCGCTGGAAGGGCCGTTTCCGCTGGTGGCTTAAAGTCATCACCGGCATACGATCGTGCCGCTTTAGGCCGCCCCTCGCACCTCCAACTCGAGAGAAAGTGGCATTTACTTCACGTTGAGCACGCCCTGTTGATTAGGTACCTATTTGAATTGGTGCGGGTCGTGAGTGGGCGGGGCTGGGTCCCTGAGAAAAAGTGCTTTGCGGTCTTGGTAGAGGTGGTGGTTGGGAATGGCGAAATGAGCGTGATAGTTCAATCAATCAATCTTTCATTTACTTATGCCATTTCGTGTTTTTACATTGAATTGAATTACATGTACATCAAATGTTCTACATTTGTTTCCTTTTTCCTACTACTTTATTCGTATTTTTCTCCACTTCCCCTTTCGTCTAGTATCTCTTTTCTGCTACCTCTTGATCTTTGATCTTTCACCCTCGTTACATGCCCATATCATCAGAGGATCCGTAGGTATACATAGGTACCTATTTTCCTCTTTCTCTCCACAAAATCTGCATTTCCTTTCTTCTTCTTCTCTTCATTTCTCCTTTCCTTAGACATTTCGGCACTCCTCCATTATCAACTCCTGCATCTCCTCGCATCTTTGCCCCTTTCTGTAAGTTTATTTTGCATGCGAACTATGGGTGTCGATAACGATGCCCCTCGAATAACGAGCAACCTCTGACTTAATCCTTCTTTATACTGTGCCCTGGGCAAGCGGCTCTGCCCAGCTGAGGCCGCATTCCGGGTTCCATTGAAGTTCACCCAGTGCCATTGTGGTCGAATGCGAGGACCAGTGGATCTTGGACTAGTTGGAAAGGAACGCCCCTCTCGTCTCTAGAATATCCAAGATGATGGCTGGCGTTCCACTACGAATCCTCTGTAGGTTTCAGAACCTCGATCCGTACTGACTGGGGCTTGCTCGGAAGATAGGCCAGGTGGAGGCGGCGGTCGCATTAGTAAAAGCGTCATACGAGATCAGTTGTAAACTCTGGATCCTTTGAGGAACGAAGAGTACACCTTGGTGGAACTCAGACCTTAGACCCCATGTGGACGAGGCTGCCTACGGGCTGGGAAGATCTCACGATAGCTCGGCGCAGGTATAAGGGCTTAAGCGAGGATCATGGAGGATCTTCTGTGGGGGGGTCTTCTTAAAAACTTCGTAAGATCCCTTTGAAAGACCCGGGGGGGGGGGGCGTAAAATGGGGACACTTAAGCTTTCATGTGGCAGATATGGCTCTCGCATGTCTCCTGAAAACACACTTTCCAAGCTCTAGAGACTACGTCATTTCGAACCCACCTAATAGGGGGTCAGTGTAAGGCCGATCGACTGGAAAATAAAGTGTTTTCCGAGGGATCTTTGAGATGGGAGGTGAACGCTTTCAACCCATTTAAAGCTGCAGGACCAGACGGAAAATTCAGTGGCAACAAGCAACTGGACGCACACAATACATTATATACAGTGCCACAAGTGTCCCAAAACATTGCTGGATGAAGTAGTTCAAACTTACTCGTGGTAGTTCCAATAGCTTTGAATGTTGTCCTAACCTCATTTTTTTTTAAAATCTCTCAAATTTAATTTAAATAAAAACTAATCATTATTGATGATTGAAAGGCTTTAAACAAAGAAAATCATTATTAATAATATAAAAGTGGTTACATTCAGTCAATTTGGGGACTCTATCGCACATCTTACGTCTTAAGAACGGGGAAACTTCATCGGAGATTGCCAGTGGTTCCGAGGATTACATTCGCTTCTACAACTTGAGATTGGCCGCTCGAGCATGAAGATAACACTAGAAAGGTTTGTCGCTTAATTCGTACATCTCGCTACCTTTTCTGACGGGTTTTAGTTTACAACTTTGTTTGTCGTAGATGCTCGCTTTGACGGCCAGAGTTTCGCAACAGCTTCTTCAAACATAAAATCGACAGCGGGATGGTTGGAAGGTGGCCTAAAGAAGTCTAATTGGAGCGTAGCCGAGATCGCAATAATTCAACGTTTTATAAACTATTATAATCTTAGTGTCGACACTCACGTTCAGTTCGCCGGACGATTTCGGTCGAAAAGACAACGACTGGACGGTCAGTTTTCTCTGTACACGTACAGGCGGCCGATGAGAGTTGTGAAAATCGCTTGGCCGGCCGGGGTGACTGAGCGTAAGTGTCAAGCTTAAGAACTCGCAACGTTTTCGTAGAGCATGGCTAATTTGTTTAAATATTCGGACTGTCGGCCCGGGTTGAAAGTTGCTAGTTCTTAGAGTAGTTGGATAAACTTCTTCTTTTATTACCTAAGTAGTTATGTGGTAGTTTTGAAAGCGACCTCATATGTAATTAGAGAAAATGAGACGTATAGCCTGTTGTAATATACTAGAGACATCGCGCATGCTAGCAGAACAATTGTTTAGAAACAAATTGTGCTACTAATTAAGTGCTTAGTATTACTCCTTCAATTCTGAATGTTCACCATATAAAGTCATCTGCGAAATGCTGTATTTTTGAGACAGTAGACGAGGAAGAGATACCAAAGCATTAAATTAGCACTTACTGTTGTACCTACCTTTTGTTATTCTCTCTGCCGTGTCTTGCTCAGAGTAGCAGGACTAATTGTAAATGTCCTAATGAATTCCTCGAGTCATTCGGTGCAATGTTCTATTAAGTTGCCTTAGAGCTAGCAGGATCGGGGATGTAATTTGTGAATGAGAGGAGAAGTTGTAACTATACATCATCCACCTTCTTATATTCTGCTCATCTTCCGTACCCTTAAAGCTGTATCAGTTGGAGTACTCACAGTAGGATCTAATATCTAGCAGGGGAAGGAAATAAATTTGTAATTGGTAGTTAATTACACACCATCCACCTGCTTATATTCCGTTATTGTTAGTAGTTAGTGGTATGCACACCAGGATCTAACAATGTCTCTTAAAGGAGGGGGAAAAAATGGTCAATTTTTTTAATCTAAATTACGCCCATATTCCGCTCCCATATATATCTGTTATATATCAGTTGGAGAGTACTCAGACCGTTCTTGAGATATTACGGTTTGTCAGAATTTTTGGTCGAAATTTCAAACGGTAATATCTCGAGAATGGTGCGTCGTAGATATGCCTTCTGACCGCTCGTTGGAAAAGTCTCGACCAGCGCTATCGATTGGTGCTGTCAGAATTTCGACAAAAAATTCAAAGGGCTGTAACTTTTGATCTAGTAGCCCGATCTTGGAACTGTTTGAAATTATGGATTCTACAGGCCACATTCTATAAGAAAATATGTTTTTTCCGGTCGATCTGAGACAATTTTTTTTTCGGGGCTCAAAAAAAGGCAGTGTATATGAGTAGAGTCTAGCAGCCGGAGTACGCATTTGATTCTTGACGAGATGCCCTTCCCTCGATAATACCTGTAGCTTAGGTGTCGTACATTGAGATTCCGAAGGTACCATCTCTAAAAGAAGGGCCGTACAAATTTGTACTGTAGGAAACCATCTAGTCCAGAGAGCGCCATGTAAGGGGTAGGTACTGTAAATTTACTTGATTTGTATAAAAATAACGATCGGTTCGCTTTAAGAAATTTTTTGACATTAAAGCCTGTATGTGTTCAGTATGAAACCCCTTAAAAAGGGCAGAAAAAGAACAAAGACAGATTATGCTGAAAGACACAAAATGAATGACCCAAAAAGGCACCGTGCGAAAGGTGATTTTTAGAAGGTCCGTGCACAAATTAATATAACACACGGGTAGGACCGCCATTTTGGGGCCAAATAAAAGATTGTAGGGTATTTTTAAATTGATGACGCGCGCCGAACTTCACCCTCTTGATCAACCTCGTTTCTCGCGCTTAACAATTACCCAATTACCATACAATAAATTGCCAATGGTAATTAGTCCTATATAAGCGTGGACAAATTGCCGCGAGTCCGATTCGGCCGTGTAGAAATGGAACAGATATTGACCTCCCATATTTTCCCTAACGACGACAATGTAAAAGTCGCCGACGAGGGAAACTCGGAGATTCAGCAGTTCTATGCGGGCGGCACCGTTTTCGTAACAGGCGCGACTGGGTTCTTGGGTAAGCTGCTGGTCGAGAAGCTGCTGAGGACGTGCCGTGGCGTTCGCAGGATTTACGTTCTGGTGCGGTCGAAAAAGGAGCTGAGCGAGGAGGAGCGTATCGTTAAGCTGTTCGACGAGCCGGTAAGTTTCGGGACGAGTGCTGTGAGTGATGGGGTTTCGTTGCAGGTATTCGACGAAATCAAGCGGAACTACAGGGACGCGTTCGAGAAGGTGCGGGTGCTCCCCGGAGACATGCTCCTGCCGAATTTGGGCATGAGCGAGGCCGATCGGGAGATCTTGCGTCAGGAGGTGAACTTCATCTTTCATGTCGGGGCCACGGTACGTTTCGATGAGAACCTCAGGGTGTCGACCTACATCAACGTGAGGGCTACGTGGGACTTGCTAAGGTTAGCCCAGCAGGCTCCAAATCTAAGGGTGTTCATTCACGTTTCGACCGCGTTTATCGTCCCGATGTTGCAACACACACAAGAGAAGAGGTACGAGCCTAAAATTAGCGCGGAAAACTTGATTCACCTTGTCGAGACCATGGAACCGGAGCAGCTGGACAAGATTACGCCAGGGTAAGTACCCAGCTGCCGAAACCTCTTGGGTACTTTAACTTTTGGAATGCCTAGTCTTATAGGCGAATGGCCGAACACGTACACGTTCACGAAGGTGATCGCTGAAGACGTGATCATCCGTAAGGCAGAAGGTTTGCGTTACGCGATCGTGCGACCATCTCTTGGTACGTTTCCAAGTCACGGTACCACATTCCAACGTTAGTTACCTACTTTTAGTGATTTCAACGTCAAGGGAACCCGTGCCCGGTTGGGTCGATAACTTCATGGGAATCACTGGTTTAGTAATCGGTTTAGAATTGGGATTACTGCACGTTGCTATGGGAAATTACTATCGGGTGGTGGACGCCGTCCCCGCCGATTACGTGATCAACAACACATTAGCGGTGGGTTGGTACACCGAAGTGAAAGGGTAAGGCATTTCATGGAAAACTTGGTGCTAAAGTGGCAATTTTAGAATTGACAGCATCTACAATTACGTCAGCTCAGTTCAAAAACCCCTAACCGCTGGTAGGTTCCAGTTCAAAAAGTGCAGGATCACGTCAGGTTTCTTACCTTCCAGATCTGGGCGATAGGTTAATCCAAAAAAGCATGGCGAATTGTCCTACAATACACCAGTTTTGGCACAAGTTTAAGATAGTTACTCAAAGTAAGCTCACTTTCGCAATGGCCCATTTCCTTTTCCACGTACTAATCGGGTACATTGTCGACTTCATCAACGTGGTGAACGGGAAGAAGCCTTTGTAAGTTCAATCTGCACCGGACATCTGCAAAACACCTAACGCCGTCCCATTTCAGTGCAACCAAAAAAATTAAACGGGCGAAAGTTCGCGTAGATATGGTCAACTATTTCGTGCAAAAGGAAGCGACCTTCAGCAATAATAATACCCAACTCGTTTGGAAAACTTTGACCTCAAAGGACAAACAGTTGTTCTTCTTTGACATGGGAAGTCACAGTTGGGAGGACTACTCCGTTACGTACGGCCCAGGTTTGAGGGTGTACCTGCTCAAGGATCCCATGGAAACGATACCGAAAGCGAAGAGGCGACAGCTGAAGCTGAAAGTCGTCCATTACACGCTAGCTTCCGTACTAATACTGATTATATACTTCCTCCTAAGATTCTTGCTCAGTAAATTACTTTTCTAATTGAAAAATGTTGTATTTATATCGCCAGCTGGCAAACCTACTATGATTTAACCTCTACAGTTTGTTTTTCCCTTCAGACATTTTGTTAGATTCGCAAGTTTTCGTATTTAAGAAAAGGACACATCTGGTCGTTTGCGATAAGAAATTTTATTGATAGACAAAATCTAATTAACGAACGTGTTTTGGGGCCATTGCGCGTTTCATATCGGAGGAGCGTGTACATTTCGTTACGCTATATTTTCGGGCAGTCAGCCCTATTTGATTTATTAAAGACGCAGCGCGTGAGGTGGTGTAAGAAGTTTAACCCATGTTGTCCAATTGCGGAAAAAGCTCAGAAGCCGTCACCATTTGCGTGGTATGTTAAGGGCGCCTAGTATAGCAAACCTTGCACGACCAGAAGTAGTCATATAAAGGGGTCCGTTAACTTGGCCCCCCCCCCCCCCACTGAGAGATTTCATAGTCGTATTATTTTGAAATGAATGCGCTCATATGCGCCACCGATAATAACTCTTGCGCCATTATCGTTTTTTAGAAATCCGAAAAAACATTTGGGGGGGGCCAAGTGAACGTAGCCCCCCCCCGTACGTATTTTGTCCCTTGTAACTAGGTCACCTGATACATTTGGTTATGCGCTCAATTGCGCCACTTGAATTAAAGCTAGCGCCATTACGGTTAAGCCATAAAAAATTTTTAAAAAGTGGGGGGGGGCTAACTTAACGTTTTCAAAAGTTACGTTTTTTAACATGTTTTTTCTACTACATCGTACCTTTCATCATGCGCTAAAATGCGCCGTAAACAAAAATCTTGGCGCCATTATAGTGTTTCAGAAACACTATACAGGGTGTTTTTTTGGGAGCATAGTTAAACGATTCTGGGAAAGTAAAATAGGTAGGTTTTTAAAAATTTGTATTTTGGAGTTACTCCGAAGGCCGAATCGATGTAAAATATTTTCAAAATGGACGCACTTCCGGAAATAACTTTTGAAAACGCTACGTTAGACCCTCCACTTTATGGCTTAACCGTAATGGCGCTAGCTTTAATTCAAGTGGCGCAATTGAGCTCATAACCAGATGTATCAAGTGGCACAAATACCGGTAGCAAAATGCGTTATGGGGGATTCCGTTCACTTGCCCCCCCCCCCAAATATATTTAAGGATAACCAAAAAACAATAATGGCGCAAAGATATCTTTTTACGGCGCATTTCAGCGCATACCTGAGAGTACAATTTCGTATGAAAAGATGTTTAAAAAAAGTAACTTTTAAAAACGTTAAGTTGGCCCCCCCCCCACTTTTTGAAAATTTGTCACGGCTTAACCGTAATGGCGCTAGCTTTAATTCAAGTGGCGCAATTGAGCGCATAACCAAATGTATCAGGTGACCTAGTTACAAGGGACAAAATACGTACTGGGGGGGGGCTACGTTCACTTGCCCCCCCCCCAGATGTTTTTTCGGATTTCTAAAAAACGATAATGGCGCAAGAGTTATTATCGGTGGCGCATATGAGCGCATAACGAGCGCATTCATTTCAAAATAATACGACTATCAAATCTCTCAGTGGGGGGCCAAGTTAACGGACTCCATATAAAGGCCGAACCTGGACCGTTCAAAGTCGCTCGTACCCTGCCGGTGACTTTGGCAAGTAGGTAGGTCAAGGTGATGTTCAAAAATCGCGTGCCACGTGAATGTGACCTTGAATGCCAAGTTGAAGATCAAGAACATTCACTTTCAAGGACATTAAAGGTCAATGATCCCATTTTTGTAATGTCATCCATTTTTTGCGGTCATATTTTATTTTCAAGGCTCAATATTACCTCATTTTTGTGTGTGTTATGGTGTCATGTTGTATTTTCTGTCATATTCTATTTTGTAGGTCCTCTTTTTTTCCTAGGTAAAATTTCAATTTCAAAAGAAAGGCGACGACTGACTGGGTACGCAGACGCTTTCTATCCTAATACTGTACAGTTTATTTAACGATCGAATGGGATCATTGACCTTGGACGACCTTAAAAGTAAATGTTGACCGTTGATCTCTGGTGACCTTGAAAATGGAATGTAACACAAAAATGTGGTCACTGATTTTGGATGACATTAGAAATTGATTGATTTAAATATGTGGAAGTTATCGAATTTCCCAACTATAGGCTTGAATATCCCGCACGAGGGACAAGTTACAAGTCTCAGGGGTGGGACCCTGCTAACAAAAACTCTTCTTCTCTACTTTCCACACATTTTGTTGTAACGGTGAGTTTGCCCCCCGAGGTCACGCAATTTTCCCACGAAGGGAATATTTCCTAGTGGATTTAGTCTGTGGAATCCAAGAATTAGTGACCTCCACACTAAGAGTTAGTGATATACAGAGAAGAGCAATGGCAAAACTAGAAAAAAAAGTAGGGAAAAAGAGAGGTTACGAAACTGTGTAACTATAAAGAGAGTGGATATTGACCAAGGAAAAAAGGGGAAAAAAGGGAAACGGAAATGCAATAATAGCATGAAGAATTAAGAGGGGAATTATGAGGAGTAAGGAAAACTTGAAAGGGGGTCAAGTTATGCATCCATGCCATAGGTCGTCAAAGTTAAATATTCACCTAAAACATAAAAAAGGTTTGTGCAAGTAATCGATACTTGTCCATTAGTTATTCGTTTCCCATAAATTAACGTTTAATAATTATTCATAGCGTCAATTGCACATAAATAATGTAATTGGATTACTTCGATATTTACACCTTGTATAATGTATGCCGACATTTACATTCGGAACCATAACGTTTGAATTTTCGTGTAGATAATGGGGTGAGCTGATATATATAGTTCAAAGGGCTGTAACTTTTGATCTAGTAGTCCAATCTTGGAACTGTTTGAAATTATGGATTCTACGGGCCAAACTCTATAAGGAAATTTTTTTTCCGGTATATCTCAGACAATTTTTTTTCCGGCCTCCAAAAAAGGCAGTGTATTACCTTCCTTTTTTACCAAAAATCGACGGCTCCAAAATTTCTCGGGAAAACACTTTTTCTCACTAATTTTAGTGCGTAGAATCCAAAACGATTCGTACTTTTTCGATCAGACCTCTCAATCAAAAGTTATACACTGCATTCTTTTGAGGCTCGAAAAAAAAATTGTCTCAGATCGACCCGGAAAAAACATTTTCTTATAGAATGTGGCTTGTAGAATCCGTAATTTCAAACAGTTCCAAGATTGGGCTACTAGTTCAAAAGTTACAGCCCTTTGAATTTTTTTTCGAAATTGGTTTCTAGTCTATAACTTTTGACTGAGAAGTCTGATCGAAAAAGTACGAATTGTTTTGGATTCTACACACCAAAATTAATAAGAAAAAGTGTTTTCCCGAGAAATTTTGGTGCAGTCGATTTTTGGTAAAAAAGGAAGGTTATACACTGCCTTTTTTTGAGGCCCTCAAAAAAAATTCTCAGATCGACCCGGAAAAAAATTTTCTTATAGAATGTGGCCTGTAGAATCCATAATTTCAAACAGTTCCAAGATTGGGCTACTAGTTCAAAAGTTAGAGCCCTTTGAATTTTCTTTCCCAAAAATGTCAGACAGCACTGCTACTTTTTTTATTTGGTTATACGCTTATTGTACTATGGTTATACGCATACTGGTAGTAGCCATCACATGAACCACCTCCAGCACGTGGTGGCAGCGCGTGTAAACAAAAAAGTCTAACCTCAAACCTGTCCTAGTGTCAGTTTTTACTTTTTAGAAATGTCCCATGCAGAGGAAGTTCTTATAACCTCTTGCAAGACGTCATTGCAAGTATGGAGCTCCCAAGGATCGGGATCCATGAACAGCATACACACCTACAAAAACAATGGAGAAATCGTACCCAACTCCCTAAACCTAATTAATAATCGGCTCGTAACGACAGCCCACCACGGCAAACCCCTGTTACACATTTGGCCAATAAACAGCCCGGACGAGATCAAAAACCCGAGGTTCGTCTTGCCGGGTCCGGCCAACGTTTACAAAGTGACACCGGATGGTCACTACCTGGTGGCGGGTATCAACCGAACTCTGTACATCTGGCAAATATCGTCGGGAACTCTACTGACCGCCCAGGAAATCCACCTCTGCCCGATCACGTGCATCGCAATTTCGCTGAACTCGACCCACGTACTAGTCGGCGCGGCCAACGGATGTGTGCTCGTCTACAACTTCGTCCACCTCATCTCCGTCGAGGACGTGCACTATGCCCAAAAGGAGCTTGGCAAAGTGAAACCGTTGCACAACCTCCTCCACCACACCAACGCCGTAACGGACATTCAAGTCGAGCTCGTCAACGTAAACCCACGATTTGTAACGTCCTCCCTCGACAACAGCTGCTTTATTTACGACCTCCGCACCGGCCAACCGCGCCTGCACATCGTCTGCGACGAGCCGATAACCTCAACGACCGTCGACGCCGTCTTCTGGAACGTCTACTTCGGCCACGCGGCCGGCGACATCGTTCAGTTCTCCGTTTCGGGCTCGACGAGCGGATTGGTGCACTTCACCGCTCCCGCCGCTCATCTGCGTTTCGCCGGTCACAGCGGTCGCATCAACTGCGTGGACCTGAACAGAACGAACGAGCTGCTCGTGTCGGGCTCCGACGATTCGTGCGTGATCGTCTGGAACATTGAGAGCAAGCAGATTTTGAACAGGCTCGAGTTGAAGACGCCGATCACCAACGTTAAATTTCTCCTGAATACGAACACGTTCGATCCTCACTATCAGCCGAGGTACATAGTGAAAGAACTGCAGCGTACGTTGGAAGGCAACGCTTATAAGTCTTTCGAGTGCGAGGTGTATCAGGATTCGAGTTTCGTATGTGAGAGTGACGATGCCCGTTGGGAAGAGATAGACTCTTTGAGGAAGCGCCTTCATTTAGTCTCGCGTGTCAATCACTGTTTAGTAAAGAGGCTTAAATCTGGAACGATGTAATTTGTTGCTAATAAAACGTCATTTCTTGTTAAAAATATTTGAGGTTATGTCAAAGGATCATTTGTTTATTATGAAGTTAGCTGTTAATTCTCCAGTGGCGTACGGTTAGTTGCTATATGTACAGGGTGATGCCTAGCGCAACAGCATAGGGATTTCAATGGTAATTTCTTTATAATCAATTGCAATGTAATTTATTTTGACTTAAATTCCCGAGATTTTACAATCAATAATAATTGCGATCAATATTAAACTAACTTTTCACAGTTTGAGTGTTGTATTTTACGTTCCTTTCCTACTGTGCTTCAGGTCAAAGCGTTGTCTAAAACTTGTTTGATCACGTGCCACTTTTCAAATTAAAGCGGGTTCTTGTTTAGTTTTAGAGGGAATAGTCATTCGGATGGCCATTTTTAAACGTTGCCGGGTTAACTTTATTTCCGTGTTCTTGTAATGTGAAGTTAGCGTAGACATGTTGAAATGCATAATTTGTCATTTTTTAAGAGAATAGTAGGTTGCAGTATGATATCCCTCTTTTTCTCTCCTGCTCCCTTTCATTTTAATTATTTAACATTTTGTAAACCAATCGAGACCATGCGGGATTATGAGGAATGGTATAAGTTTTACTTTCCTTTATTGCAAAAATATAAAAATAAAATCTAACAACGTTCAAATACCTTGTACAAATGCGGTAAGTCGGCGATCTGCAACACGGCGGCGTTCTCGGTAAACGTTTTCGGCGGAAGAAAAAAGTCCTTGATGGCCGTATAAAAAACATGCTCAACCACCCATTTCCAACTCTGCGCGTCAGACTCGTACATCTTGGCATAGTACATGCCCGTCTCCCTCGCGAACTGCCTGAAACATTTCTTCTCGTGCTCCCAGTCGACTTCCGTCGCCAATCGTAGGATATACATCGGCAAACATCCCATTTCCGGCAGATGATTGTCTACAAAAAAAAAAGGTTAGCGGCGAACGCACTCGGGCTAATCACCTAGCAGTAACGGTAGACTCTTCAGGTAGCCGAACTCGTCGATGTCGATCGAAAAGTACGCCTTCAGCATGTCGCCTTTTTCGGTCAGGATCTCTTGGACCTTCTCCGCGAGCTCGTCTTTATTCCCGTCCTCCTCCGTCCAACCGGTTTCGGCTAGGTCGAGCGCTAAACGCGCAAGCTCCTTGAGCGGCAACGGGTCGGAAAGGTTGATCGTGCCGAAATTTTGGAAGTTATACATGACCAACTCGTAAAACACCTCCTCCATTATGCGAGTCGTGTCGCATAGGTATAACTTGGTGCCGTGCTGCACGAGCGAGTGTTTCGCGTTGACGCACCCGACGAAGACGTGCTGCGCGAACAACTCCCTTAGCGTCTTGTGACACTGCGACTCGATTTCGTGTCGTAGCTGCAAGACGCTCGTCAATTTGCATTCATTTTGTATTTTAGTGAGCGAGGAGCGCAGACAAATGCTTCGGTTTAACGCGTTTTCGAAATCTGTGGCCTTCTCCAAGAAGTGTTCGTTGTCCCGCTTGAAGGCGGTTTCGTAGTTTTCGCTTCGGTTTAAATCGGAAGGGACGAAAAACTTATCCAGTTTCTGTTCGGCTGCATCCGTTCGCACCAAGTCCTTGTCGTACGTTCTGATCTGGCCCGTTTCTTTCGTATCGGAAACCGCCCCCGGAAGCTTAGTTTGCACGAAGAACACGCGCGAATTGTTCGAACCGAGAAGCTTCGTTTCGATGGCGGACGTGAGCGATTCGATGATCTGGTCCTCGCTCAGAAAGTGAACCTCGTGCTTGGTGGGGTGGACGTTAACGTCGATGGTGCGCGGGTCCAGCTCGAGGCTCAAGTAAACGAAGGGGTGCATGTGTTTCGGAAGGTAAGTCGTGTAGACCTGATCGATGCATTTTTTTAAGCCCGTGCAGTCGACCAATCTGTTGTTGATGAAGAGCAGAAATGTGAACTTTTTGGTCGAGTAGTTCACGTTCGTCATGTATCCGTGCGCTTTGAATTTCAGTTCGTCGTTTTCGACGTTAAAATTGATCAGTTCGCGCGCGATTAAGTTTCCGTAAATCGTTCGTATATTGTCGATCGCGTTCGAATTCGGAGGCGTGCGAATGTCGTTGTTCTCGTTGAACTTTTTCAGACCGAAACCGATCGACGAGTTGTGGACGGCGTACTTGCCGACGACGTCGATAATTCGCTGATACTCCTCGGCGCCGTTCTTCATCGCGGCCCTTCGAACGTTCATGTTGTAGAACAGGTCCTCGACGACGATCTGCGTCCCCTGAACACCTGCGACGGCTTTCGGACTCTCCTGGAGTTTGCCGTCGACGAAAGCGGCCCTGAAATTTTACCATGAGCGTCCGCCGGAAACCGCGCACGTGACCGTACCGGTACGCGCACTTCTCGTTTCCGGTCTTCGATTGTATCGTTAGGTGCGCAATGTGACTGATGCTCGCCAGTGCTTCGCCGCGAAATCCGTAAGTGGCGATCGTGCTCAGGTCTTCGAACTCGCGCAGTTTCGACGTGGTGAACCGTTCGCAGACGATTTCGAAATCCTCTCTTCTGATACCCGACCCGTTATCTTGTATCTGTAAAAGAGACGCGAAATAATGTCGCGCTACCAACACTGGCCCCACGTTGGGCGCCAAATTGTACATCCTCCAATGGTACAGTAGATGATCGTTGTATTTTTCTTTCATTCAATATGCATAAAAATTCCAGTTGGCCGTGCACCTTGAAGACTCAATTGCGTTCAATGAAAAAGGTATGGAATACCCCCCCAGTATACGCAGAGCTGATAGATAGGAAAGTGAACATTGAATTGTTCTTTGATGGGAGGTATTCCATACCCCTCCGGTTTCTATATTCCTTCCCAGGAGCTCTCAAATTATGCTCAGAAAGGGAAAATTGTATAGCCCCCTATAGTACCACAACAGTACTCAGGGTTGAATGTTATGAGGAAGAACATTACACAGGGGGGTCGGGGGGGTGTGAAATACCCCCCAGTATACGCATTCCATACCCCCTAGTCGACGGTCAGTATACGTAGAGCTAACAATAGTTATAGAGAAGTAAACATTGAATAGTTCTATGCTGGGGGCATTCCATCCCCCCCATCCCCCCCCCCCCGCCGGTATACGTAGAGCTAATAATAGTTATAGAGAAGTAAACATTAAATCGTTCTTTGCTGGAGGGTTCTACATTCCTTCCCAGGAGCTCGTGAAGTATGGAATACTCCTCAGGAGGGGACAATTCTATAGCCCCCTATGAAAAACAGACCTTAGAGTTGAATGTGATGAGGAAGACCATAGCACCGGGGGGTCTGAAATACCCCCCCCAATAGGCAGAGCTAATAATAGTTATAGGGAAGTGAACTTTGAATCGTTTGCATACCCTCCCAGACCCCCCGGTTTTTCATTCCTTCCCAAAACGTGTAGTGCACATACTATACAAAAATGAGACCAGTTATTCAAAAAGGTCTATGGCTAGTGTGACATAATCCTTATAACAAGATGCTTATCCTCAATTGATAAGTTACATCACTAGGAAATCGTATTAGATCTACACCTTTTCCACTTTTATTCGAGAAACTATCAAGTTAATTTGAGAAAGTATCAATTGTATTTGAGAATAGTAAAATGTATTTGAGAAAACAACAAATGTAGTTCAGAATAGTGATTTGTATTTGAGAAGGCATCAAATGAATTTGAGAGTAGTAAATTGTATTCAAGAAATGGTAAAATTAAGTATTTGAGAATCAATAACAAAATCACATGTATAACATAGCGTGATGCTGCTGCTGTGGCGGGACTACATACAGTAGCGGAATTATAAAAATTGGATTCTTAATTATAATTCATTAGGAATAATATTACATTCTGAAATACAATAAAATTAAATGATACTTTCTCAAATACAATTGACTATTCTCAAATACATTTGATGTTTTCTCAAATCCAACTGACTATTCTCATCTACTTTGACGTTTTCTCAAATACAAGTAACAATTCTCAAATACAATTTACAACTTCTCGAATAAAAGTGGAAAAGGTGTAGTATGCCAAGCACTACCGTACCGTACTTGGGACCGTAATAATAAAATTGTGAACTACACATTACAATACCCGAACAGAGCGAGAGTTTACCTGAATATATTTCAGTCCGCCTTGTTTGACAGTCACTTGAATGTTGGTCGATTTCGCGTCGATGCTACAAAAGATGGATGGTTTAATATCAAAAGTAAGTTAGTACGAAGGGTACCTGTTTTCGATCATTTCCTTGATCGCATTCACCGGTCGCTGAATCACCTCGCCGGCTGCAATACGATTTATAACGGCCTCCTCGAGTTTCTTTATCTTCGGCGGTTCACCCATTTTTCTGCGTTAGTTTATTACATTGGGCGTTTTTGTTGCATTAACAATTTGAAAAAGTGAGGTTATAAGTTGACAAACAACCATTTATGAATTTTGGCTGTGGGGAAGCTATTATTCCTACTCAGGGTGCAAAATTCATACAGTGGCTCTCTCTGATCAAAATGCAACACGTGTAATTATTTTAGCTGAAGGTTTAAAAAATACGTCCACACTTACTACATTTTGTACTGCCTGCATGAACCATGATTAAAGTCGTCAGCCCTCAAGGTTCGCCCTTGCACACGCCTTTAGACTCACTCTGTATATATTCGTAAAGTTAGGTTAGGAATCTTAAATTTGTTTATTTACAATCGTTGTGTTACTCATATCGCCCTATTCTCCTAACTTTCCGTGTTTAAATGAGTTTGTCGGACCTAGGAAGTAGCTGTTCAACAAACTACAGACTGGAAAATGACCGCAACAACGTCGTCTACAACAATTCGCATTTGGTCGACGTCTTTTACGGGTCGAAGTCCTCCACACAGAAGACTGTCTCCTTCATAATTTCGCAACTGGCAAACGCCATTGTATGCCCGTCACTTCGACTACCTTGTTTTAATCAACGTATCGTTACAGAAGGTAAAGGTGCGCGACGCCTCCGACTACTCCTTCAACTACACCGCCGTGATAGACTGGTCGGCGTTCGACCGTATGCGACACGAGCAACTTCTCGACATCACCTTCGAAGAGTTTCAGCCGCAAATCCTCGACTTGCTCAGTCAGATCACTAAGAAGCAAATGTAAGTGGTAGTGTCCTTGACTCCTTGATGTCCGTTCCATCTGCAATGATTGTTTCGTTCCATGTTTTACTTGGTCTTGCTCTGTGTATCTTTGCACGCGTAAATTATATTATGAGAACATAATAGGCAAAGAGGTGATCGGTCAGAATGTTGGGCAAGAAACATGCACTTTATTTTAACATGTATTTCACATGTATAAGGAGAATATCACAGGTGGGAGTTGGTTGTGCTCCTAATACACACAGAGATTTTAGAGTTCTAGACAAGGAGGTATTTTCCGAATGCAGAAGATATGTCTCTTAATCTGTAACTGTTGTATTGGGAGAATATACTGTGCTAGGAGGTGTTTCTGCTACCAATGCGTTGAGTAGCCAATAGAAAAGTTGTGTTTGGTTACCAGAAGGACGTCTTTTTCCAAACCCAAGAGCTGTTACAAAAATTTTCTTTGTATATCAGGAGGACATAATGTAAGAAAGTGTAATATGCAAGGTATTTTTGCTCCTAATGTATAAATGTAAAATTTTCTGCCTACTAGGAAAACATGAATAGATGAAAAGGTCTGTTTTGAAAGGGAAGGGAAATGTTTCAAGATTTTATTTTCTCTCAAATTGTTACAAAATTTGTTTCCGGAGACTATAATATGTTCTCCTAATAGACTGGAGTATCCTGTAACATTTTTTCCGGCAAGAGAAATGCGTCAACATATTAACTATTGTACTAGAGTAGTAATATATGGCAGATTCTAAATCTCACTAGATGAAAATCCCTAGAAAAGTCACTAGAATTGAGTGGTTCTGAACTGCGGTAGCGAGGCTTGCGCCTTTGCTAACGTCAAGGGGTCGAGGTTTGCGCTCCAGATAAAGTATCGGAGGTTTGCGCCTGTGCTAACGTCAAGGAGTCGAGGTTTGTGCTCGATATAAAGTATCGGAGGTTTGCGTCCGAGCTATTTGGGCCGGAGGTTTGTTGTCAGGTTACGGTGAAGTTTCAAGGTCGTTTAAGGCAATTTTATATAATTTGAGGGAAGTGTTTCTGCCACTAATATGAGATGCGAATGATCTACCAGGAGAACAGGCCATATGAGGTATTTTTTGTAAACGCATTAGAAATTTGTCAAAGTTTCTTAAAGTGAACTTGACGTCATCACCGGTATGCGTATAACCAAAGCGGACCCCCCTAAAGAAGGTATCAATTGTTGGCTTAAGCGGGAAACGGTTTTTCACTTGCCACTGAAAAGTTAATGTGGACACGAGCTATTCAAGGATGCAAAACTGGAAGAAATTATAGGAATAATTTTACGTAATTTGGAAAGTATTTGCAAAATTTGTACACATTTTTGATAAAACGGGTAGCTTATAGAGCATTTAATCGAAACGTTTACGTGAGTCGGTGTCGATGAAAAGTTGTAATCAGACAAGCATTAATTGGTTTTTCGACAAACAGTGTCACGTGCGAGATGAGCGATGCAGGTGTTTTATCAATTTTGGCACGGCTAAGGTTTTGAAGCTATCGATCAGTCGCTGAAAGGCGGCGGGTGCGTTTCTTAGACCGAAAGGCATTCACTTGTATCTATAAAGGCCGAGGGGGGAGATGTACACATTTTAGAATTACAACTTTTTAGGCAAATACGACTCGAAGCCGACGACTCACGATGTAAGCTAATATTCTACGAGAAGTCGCGCTTAAAATCGCTGATATTCCTAACCGTCGACCTTTCGCTGACCAATCAGCGCGAACTCGTCGAGGAGATGACCAATAGCATATCACAACTGAAGGTTTGCCATCCGCCGATTTCGCCGAGATTTTCACGCGGGAAATTTTAGGGTTTCAATAAGAGTGTCAACGCGCAGCTGTCGATGACGAAGAACCAACTGTTCGAGACGGAACTGCTGCTGAAGACGGCCGTCAGCAAGAACAGCGTTCTAGAGAAGCAGTTCTACAAAGATCTCGAGCTCATACTGCAGACGTTCCTGTCGCGTATACGGCACACGGAGACGAACATATCGGTCGAGCTGTCGAAGTTGACGAAGCGACATCACAGGCTCATCGCGAATTTGGAGCTGCTTAAGAAGGAGAACGCGGTCAAGAGCGACGCCCGGAATCAGTTGCTGCAGTCCGTGCAGAATCTTCGGATTGACAATGAGAGGAGCCATAGGTAAAGTACAAACAAAATCGACTTTCCCAATTCGGAAACTTTTAGGAGCGTTACGGAGTTAAAGCACGAAATCGACATTTTACGTATAGGCAAATTGAAGCTCGAGGACAACTGCAAGGACCTACGGACCAGTTTGGCGAGCAGGGAAGCGGACGTTGAAGTATTGCAAAAGCAGATGGTAAACGCCCTTGTATTTAATTAAGGCGCATTAATTTGCAAATGTTAAGGGTGAATTGAGGCGGGACCTACAGGACGCGACCATGATCATAACTCAAAAGACGAAGACGAACGACGAAATCGGCAAGGATCTACTCGAGGCGAACAGGTTACTCGTCAATTTCAACGCGCAGTACGACACGTTGGCGAACGAGGTTTGTGCATTATCACATTTGTGCCCGAGTCACTTTCACCCGATCAAAGTAGGCGGACCAAATCAGGGAAATGCTGACGTGCAAGGATGACGCGATCAAAATGCAGGCCGCCGAGCTCGAGAAGATCGGGCAGGAGTTCGCGAACTATCGCAGCCTCTACAATTCGGACGAGATTTCGAAGTTGCGGGCAGAGCTTCGCGTGGCGAAACAGCGTGCCGACGAGCTGGAGAAGCAAAATCGCGAGGCGATAAAACGTGCGTATGCCGAACGCCGCGTCGTGGCCTAAACTTGTTTTTGCAGTTAACGGACTGCTGACGAAGAAGCTGTCGAATAGCGAGTACGAGGTGCGTAATGCGAATGTGGGAATGTCGAGGAAATTTTAGCGCTTTATACGATTATTTAATTAGATAGACTTTGTATTTATGAAATAAAATGTGTTCAATCGTGTGTATTTTTTACTGCTAGCGACATCTTGTGCCACGGTCGAAAACCGCGATGCGTATCCATTGCCATTTATTACGTATAATTCGGATTAGTGAAGGGGCTGCAAGAGGCTGGAGACGGGAACTTGCAATTAGCAGTAGAATCGATTGAAAAGGAATGGATTTTTTGTAAGAAATGACAGCTCGGGAATTAAGCGAACAAATAACGATTAAAGATGGCCGTTTGCGTTCATAAGACGCTATTTTATAATTTTCTTTAATAAAAATTTAATGATTCGTGGTTAAGCAGAGAGAGACCAGTGCGTATCCATTACCGTTTATCACCTATAATTAGGATCAGTCGCGAGGCTGCATCTTTCCCTCGCATTTAGGAACGGAACGGGCGACTAAAATTAATTAAATGAAAAATTTATTTCGTACAAAATGACTAGTTAATTGTGATTAATAATTAAACAAAGCTTTTGTTCCACCTCCACCGTATCTTACAGTAACAAAACTAGCATAGGAGATCACTTCGTACGCTCGTGCCCGACTTAGTTGATGTTATTATCAAAAAATTAACTGGCTTACGCGAACAGTTATGATATGTCGTTACAGTTTGTATGGTAAACGAGGCCTTCGGAGGTAGCGATGTAGGTCGTGTTGGAATCTGAGTCAGTCTCTGCAATAAAAAATGCTCGTTGGTTAACGGAATATATTAAACAATTTTTGGAAATAGTACAGGAGGCGGTTTCGGGAGCGTCAGGCCTCAATGGAGCCGTCCAGACTAATCAGGGAGCGTTTTAATTCTTCGACAACCACCGCAAACGGCACAAGTGAAATGGTCCCGTTGATGGTCATATGATCTTCCACCACCGCAGTTTGCGTCTCCGTGTTCAGGGAGTTGTTAGGGAAAATTGCCAGCGGTAACACGTGATGCGCGCGTAAGTGCGTTACGCCTCCACTCTGCGAATCTCCCCTCCCTTTGTCCTCTTCGCTCAACTCAATTTTCTCAAGTGCAACTCTGCTTTGATTTTCCTCCTGGCGTAGCACCAGATCGACCTTGACAATATCATCGTCGTTGCTCGTCTCGATCACTTTCAGCTTGGATTCTGCCCCAAACTGCTCAATTTTGGCCTTTTCCTCATCGAGCATAATCTCGATCAAGCTTTGCCCTTCCATCCTCGCAATCACTCGGGCAGTAATTTTAAATAGATCTTCGCGACTCAAAGAACTGCCTCCGAGCAGTTGCTTGGAGACTTTATTTACCGCCCGGGAAACTAGATCAAAATCGGGTCGACTCTTTTGACAGTTGATCGCCATACAAGATTGAGACCGGTGCAGGGAGTGTCCCAAGTACTCTCCCTCGTTAACGCGAGTACCGCCCTCTTCCTTATGTTTCTCGATCAAAACGCAATCGCAGTCGACTAATCCCTTCTTTGTCCACCTCTTAACGGCGTGCGAACGCGCCGATTTTTTGCGTTCGAAATAGTCGGGGTTTTGAATTAGGGATATGCGAGTTTGCGATTCCTTGGGGTACGTGTGGAGGGACGTGCGATGTTTCTTTTTGGGAATTGCGGAATTGAGAACGGTAGAGGCTGGAAAGGGAAAATTGGTTTTATAGGGCAAGAAATCGCACGATTTCCATCCGTTGATGCAACCGCCAGTCATCGGAGTAGCATTTTTTTTGTGTTGTACAGGGTGGCTCAACCAAAATAATACAAATTCGATGGCCATCTTTGACAAATGATCACAGAAGTGTACCAATTTGAGAGAGAGACTAAAACTGGGGGGCATGGAATACTCCCCCAGCCACACGCAGATATAAATTCCAGGAAAGAATATTCCGTGAATCTCTCATGATTCTTCAAAACAACAAAACAGCAGTGTCACAGTCATGTAAGGAATGTAATGGGTTTCACGTCAAAAAGTGCGACTTTTTCCTGACGCCATGACGTGTTGATGCATTAATCGGAGGGAACTAAAGGATTTGTCTTTGACAAGGGAGATGTAGATACCTTTAAATTCCTGCGGAGATTCCGTGTAATTGGCGAGAATGATCGATAAGCACTGCGCCACGCTGGTATTCGGAGCGCAGCAAAGAGCGGGAGTCATCCCGTTGATATCTAACGCTAATACTGACGCACCCTGTTTGATTAAATGTCTAGTTGCGCTGACAAGCCCATTTCGTGCGGCTAAGTGTAGAGGCCTGGAAAATTGGGGACGATTATTTCGCCCTGTGGTACACAATACGTACGTTTTCCTCTCATTATTCACCATGTTCACTACGTTGGCATCGTCGATGTGTTTTAAAAGAAGTAAGGCAGAATGGTTGTGTTTTTTTAAACACGCGAGGTGCAACGCGGTATTTCCGTTATTGTCACACACGGCAATATCACATTTGGAATTTAGAAAAATATCTAGAAAGAACCTTGTGAAGGCGACTCGATTAATGACCCGCCTACAAACCTAAGATCTGAGTTTTCCCGTTCTGGGCGGCCGCGAGCAGGGGCGTCCGCCCGTTTGAATCCTTGCAATCCAGCTCGGCGCCGTTCTCCAGCAAATATTTGGCACATTCGATCTTCCCGTGTAAAGCGGCGATATGCAGCGGCGTTCGATTGTTGGCGTCCTTTAAATTGACAATGTCGCGCCCGTAATGGTCGCACAGCGCTCTCAAGCACTTTTCCCCACCGATCCTAAAAAAATACGCACTGTGTAATCGACGCAGGGAAACTTTAAAGCAACAAACACTGCGCAGTGCACCGGTGAGAATGGATTTCCGATTATCTTCTCATAGAGCTTGTTTTCCAGCAGGAATTCCACACACGCTGATTTGCCTAAAACAATAATTTTGTGTTTTAGCAAAAATGTCAAGCAGCGCCATCTAACTTTCACGTAAAAATGACATACTTTCGAGCCCCCTTTCAAACCTCGGTAAAATACACGATACACTCAAAATTAAGTCATCTTGTTTTTCGAATGGATTTTCGCCAACATTATTTTAATGAGAAATACTTGTTCAAATTATTGTTAGTACACGACTGTCTGCGTGGACATTAGAATGTGACTAGCAGTTTCATTAACCTCACATTACCTCCTAAAATTTACGCGATTATAGTCATATTATTTTTGAAATCAACATTTTATTGAGGACATGAACCTTTTTGAATAGAGCGCACGTTACATACCATTGTAACATGCCCAATGCAGTGCTGTCAGATCTTGATTATCCAAAGCAGTCGCCTCGGATAATTTCATCTGTTTAATAATCATCTTCATGGCGAACAGGTTACCGCAAGCCGCTGAGAGGTGCAAGACCGTCTTACCGTGAATATCGACTAAGTTCACCTTAGCGCCGTGCGCTATAAGTATCTGAACGGCGTTACTTCTATTTTTCAAATTGCCGACCTAGAACCCCCGCCATTAAAAGTTAACCAATCGCGTTGCGACTTACCGCCCGAAACAAGGGCGAGTGTTTGTCCACGTCGACTTTGTTCGGATCGGCGTTGCACTTGAGTAGCGTTTTGGCGCATACGTTGTTACCCTGAGAAACGGCCAACATCAGCGCGGTCCTCTGCAAACTATCGACAAATTGCACAGTTCAAGGGCAGAAAGGGCACTTACCGATCGGGTAAGTCGGCCACGTTCTTGTCCTCCGCGTTATCCAGAAGTAAAGCGAGCGAATGTAGATGGCGCTTTTGCGCGCTGTAGTGTATCGGGCTCATTTTGTGTATGTCGTCGCACATGGCGACTTGTGCGCCGTAACGCAGCAGCATTTGAATGCAATTGGTGTGCCCCCACCTAGACGAAAGCAACAGGGGCGTCAGCCCGTCCTCCGTCACGATGTTAACGTGGTGAAAGTACGGCAAAAGCAATTGCAGAATGTCGTGATTTCCCTTGTGAGCCTAGAGCAAGGAGTCAACCGTAGTTCCACGACCCGAACAACTTACGGCGATGTGCAACGGCGTGGTCTGCGGAACACCAGGTCCGTACAGCGCCACGTTATTCCCAACGGCGGCCAACAGCGACTTTAGTGCGGTCGAGTTATTGCCGGCGACGGCGTAGTGTATCGGCGTGAAACCTTTCAGATCTTGTAGTTTCGGATCGGCCTTGTGCTGCAGTAGGTAATCAACGCATCTATGAAAAAATCCTACTGTAAGGCTGTATTAGAAACGTAGCTGAAAGCCTGAACCTAGCCCCCACTCCGAGCACCACAAAACAAATCTGCCGCCTATTAGTTAAGCCCAGTCTCCATATCAGGGTTTGACCAATTTGTCTCAGAATCAATACGACCCTAAAAGCGTTACGGGCGACAGTCTGTCGGGCGTTAGCGAGCGATAATACTATCTTAATGGGTTTTACGTGACCAAAAACACCGTACGGAGACTTAGATGTGCCTAGTGCCCTAGTGTAGTTTCTGGATATGATCAAAAATCACTAGCTTTCAGCCACGAAATAACCTTGATCGTACACCCGAGTACTTACTCTCCCCACAGATCATAGGCCGACGCCAGGTGCAGAGCGCTGCATCCCTCAACGTCGCACGAATTTACCGCGCTCCCTAAACCGACGAGCGTAAAAACGCACTGGTAGTGACCTTTAACCGCCGCATAGTGCAACGGTAATCGGCCGACCTTGTCCGTTATGTTGTAAGCGGCCCCGTTACTTACAAGTAAGTCCATACACTCCGGCGATCTAGAAGCGAAAGTGAGCGAATGGGTTATTAAACGATGTTTAACTTACCCGATATACGCGGCGTAATGCAGGGCGGTTTTCCCCGAATCGTCGGTCGTGTTCAAGTCGACGCCCTGTATCTGCAACAGTTTGCGACAGCACTCGATATATCCCGACATGCAGCTCATATGCAAGGGCGTTCGGCCTTCGTAGCCTTTCCGAAGTGGATCGGCGCCGAACGATAGTAACGTGTTCGCGAGCAAATCGTGACCGTACCGCGCGGCGATATGCAGCGGCGTGCAGCCGTTCTTGTCGACGCAATCGACGATGGCCCCTTTGTCAATTAAGGTTTTACTCCGCGTGAAGCGGCCATGAATCGCCGTCATATGCAGCGGCGTTCGTCCGTCGAAGCTCTGCATGTTGATGTTCACCTGTTTTTCGACCAGGTAGTTGAGGCAATCGACGCCCTGCGAGCTCGCCGCCGCGATGTGCAGCGGCGTCCGACCGCGGTGATTGGTTGCCTCGATGTTGGCGCCGCACGATATCAAGACCTCGCAAATGTCCGGATGACCGTTCAGACAGGCCATGTGCAACGGCGTGTTGCCGTACGCGTTCTTCGCGTCCACTTGCGCGCCCTCGCTTATCAGCAGCCGGCAGGTGCCGACTACGCCGCAAGCCGCCGCGAGGTGCAAGGGCGTACATTGGTTGCGATCCTTCGCGTTAATGTCGCCTCCTGCACGCAGTAAAAGCTGAACGGCGTCCAGATTATCAGTGCAAGCGGCGAAATGGAGTGGTCGATTAAATCTTGTGTCACACGGGTTCACAAGGCAACCTATAACAATCATTAAATGTGAACTTCATGCGCATGCACGCTCAACATTTCGCGAAAATTGTTACACAACCAAACAATTGGTTCAGCGCATGCGTTTTGCTACAACCGGACGGACCAGCAACAATAACAAACAGTATTATATAAATTGTGTAGGAAGAAGTGTGCGCATGCGCAGAAAGACGTCATTATTAACATAAAGGATTAGCATCCGCATGCGCAGTACAACTTTCTGCGTTCTGACATTTTAATCAACCTTGAGAATTACGTATACGCATGCGCAGGGTCAACTTTTTTAAAATGTCGGGGTATTTTGTAGAGATTATTCTGAAATTTCACAAAAGGCTCTGCTCGGCTAGCTCCGATGTCATAAAAAATGCGCGCACGAGCAAAACCAGCCTTCTTGATTGTGATGCTTACCTAGCGCACGTGCGCGCATGCGCAAAAGGACCTTTGTTCCACGCAATTGAATTTGAAATATTGTCTATTCCACTACTATTGCCAGACCCTGTATATTTAACCTTTTCACATTATGAAATACGAGTCCATATTATTGGTCTCAATGTATTTAATAGTGATCATGCAATAATCCAATAGCCGCCAGGGAGAATTTTTAACAGTAAGCAAAGATGAAACGATTAGATTTGTTCACGGCCACCAGTTGGCGCTATTTGCCTAGACAAATGAGGTTCTACATGCCCGCCCTACCTTTCGTTATAAGCAATCCGATAATATTGGGCTTGCCATTCCTCGCCGCGTTATGCATGGCGGTACGTTCAAATTGATCGACCGCATTTATATCGGCCACGCTGGCGGTATGATTCAGGAGACATTCGCAGCACTCGTACGAGTTGCTGGCGACCGCCACATGCAGTGGAGTCTGCCCGTGTCTGTTCTTGGCGAACACGGTAGCCTGCTGATCGATTAGGAGCTGTACCATCAACTGAAATTAACGTGAATGTTAAAGTGTACGCTCGCACGAAACGCTTACCGGCGAATCGCCGCAGCAGGCCAAATGCAACGGCGTATTAAACCAGAAATCCTTGCAGTTGACGCGAGCGCCATTCTTGATCAGCAGCTCGGCGATCTCGGGATCGCCCACGAAGGCGGCGGCGTGCAGGGGCGTTCGCATGTCCTTATCTTTGCAATTCACGTCGACCGGACATTCTAGCACCGACCGAACGGAGTCAAGCTCACTCGAGAAGATCGCCTGTACGAGAATGGGCTAAAATTGTACGATTAAAATGGATTAATCACACAAAATGATAAGGAAACCTGCTGATCTAATTTTGCTTCGCTAAAATTTCTGGACGAAGTACGAAAACGTTGCATTTTGACTCGAAAAGAAATGGAGAAACGAGTAACTTAAAATAAATAATTTAATTCGACGCTAATGCATTGTTTTAAATAAATAGAAAATTTGTTTAAAGTTTCTAAAGAAAAGTCAAAAAGATTGAACTTTGTTTACTAAACTAAACACAAAATTCCCTAGAATTTTAAAAATTCCCCAACATTCTACCCTATGTACAGGGCGTTTCAAATTACATCTTACAGTGGTGCTTTCAATTATTATTACTCCATAATGGCAATTGTGCAATTTTTACGGTCTTTTTTATTTATCTTTATTTAGCGTAAGCTATATGCACATGACGAACATGAGATAAACTTTTACAAATAATTTCCAGATGAATAAATCTAGTCTTTTAACACGTAATTTAAATGTACAATTACCAAAACAAATTAAAACATTAATTCTGATACAAAACACTGACCTCGAAATCAAATAATATATCTAACACAGGGTGGCCCATCACAACACGTCCGTCTGTCGCAGTTTACACAACACTTCTAAAATGACGAATTAAACAGTCAACAAAAAATAATCAAACCTCAAATTACTACTTAAATTAAGTAAAGTAAGTTCACTTACCTATTAACTGAAGGGAATTATTGTGCAACCAAAAGATTTTAAAACCTACAGCCTACAGGCGTTTTCATTGCATAAATTGAAGTCGTGTTTGGTCAAGGACAGAGTAATTAAACGCACTGAGTTATTTTTCGCTACAAAAAATTCAGTAAATTGAAAAATAAGCGGAAATGACGTCAAGTTGTAAGATGTCAAATCGCAGAAAGTATGAGCTGACAGGTTTTGTACCTGTCAATAGACATTTGCGATCGGTCAATCGACGCTTACTATCTGTGAATCGACACAACACCGTTTTTAACCACCGATCAGCAATTTAGCAGGTTTGTAACCGATCCCATGGTGATATTTAAATTATTGTTCCAGATCCCGGAAGTAACAATGGACATTACTGGAATTTCAAATTTAGAAATTTTAACCTGGCTAATTAAGTATGCATAATTACCGGTAGCTAATTAAATATGTTGCAGTAAATGGCGTGTGATCAGGTTGTGTTTAGTGTCAGTGGAAGCGCGCTAAAATATCAAGACGTTTAAGTCATGTTCCAGATTTGTAGCATAGGGAGCCGTGAAATTAAAGAAGTTTTAATTTTCCCGTGCTGATCGGACAAATCGTTTGTAATTAACGTGAAGTTAAAACTTCGGGTGGAAACACCTGAAGAACGAAATGTCAAAAGAGGGTAAGTGGAGGGTCTGGATTACCCACTGCTCTCAGTAAGCGCCCATAATTTAACCCACAGTGAATTCGAAAGTGAGAGTTTCGGAATGGTAACAATCGCCTTCGAAACCTGCAGTAACCTGATACCTCCCTGTAGTATTTTATATTTAGAACACACAATTCAGTTATTTATAAACAAAAAGTCCAATGTTGAAGGAAAAATATCAGAATGGTCGAAATCAGAGTTGACTGTGGTCAAAATAAATTATCATGATGCTGCCACCTAGTGCCCAGTCATCCAAATTACAGATTCAATGTAGCGCCTCCTATTGGCTCGACCCTCAGTTTAGTTTACTAAACTAAACACAAAATTCCCTAGAATTTTAAAAATCCACTAACATTTTACCCTATGTACAGGGCGTTTCAAATTACACCTTACAGTGGTGCTTTCAATTATTATTACTCCATAATGGCAATTGTGCAATTTTTACGGTCTTTTTTATTTATCTTTATTTAGCGTAAGCTATATGCACATGACGAACGAGATTTCCAGGATTTGGAGAGCTTTCAGTTACCCTTGTAACTGTTTTGAGCTTCAGGAGAAAATAACACTGAATCTTTCCTTTTTTCCTGGGGCGTACGATAAAGGACCATCAAATCTTGCTTTCCTGACGAAGATTCCATACTCCACAAACTTCTGGTGACGTTGGATGGCCCCTTTCCAAAAATTATAGTGTAAGTCGTATGGGTATACTATACGGTTGGGAAAGAATGTAGAAGCGGGAGGTTTGGGGGGGTATGGATTTATGGAATAGCCCCAGCGCCCGAACGCTTTGTGATAGGTGCAGGAAAATGAACATATTAAATCTTTGTTTGTTCCTGGGGGGTATGGAATACCCACCGGTGGTACGTTATTCCTCAAAAGTTCAGCCCTAAGGTCTCTCGTGCTAGTGTTTTATATAAACCATCGAATCGGGAATATTCCCAAAAGGCACGTTCCAAACAAATAATCTTCAGTCGTGTATTGCCGCCTTGAAAGTGATGAAGTGTAAATCGACCTTTACTTTCAGTACCAAGTTCTGGTGGAATTTAGTAACTTTTCGCATGTAACAGTTTGCAACACCAACAGTAACAATAGTAATGGCCGACATTTCTAGGTACACAAATGTGTGTACTTCCAAGAATTAATTTAATAACGGTAAAATAATTATTAACCGAGTGAAAAGTGAAATCGTAGTGAATTGCGTTAAAAACAAATCTTAATGTATATTACGTGCCAAAATGTTTCGTTTTTTAAGCGGACGAAAAGATCGAAATTCGCCCAAAAATGGTACCAGGGATTTGAAAGTCTTCACGAAACACTCTCATAACCGAAATTTGATACAGTGCAAAGTGATATTGCTAGATGGGACCGATCTGTCCGTCGATCTTTCGGTAGGTATGGGCGGATTTCGCCCTATTTTCTCACAGTGTATCGATTTCTTCATCGTGTGAACCTCTCTCCAATTGTCTTGCAGAAGAAGGCCGCGGCTGGCGATTTATACGAGCAGGTTTTCTATTCGTTGGACTTGATTGAGAAAGACTACTTCGGTCTGCAATTCACTGATGTTAATCACGTGAAACACTGGCTGGATCCGACGAAACCGATTAAGAAACAGATTAAAAGTAGGTGCGGTGGCGTGTACGCGTTTGAGATTAACGAATTTGTTTCAGTTGGCCCCCCTTACACCTTAAGATTGAAAGTGAAGTTTTATTCATCGGAACCGAACAATTTACGCGAGGAACTGACGAGGTACCAGTTCTTTCTCCAGCTCAAGCAGGACATTTTGGAAGGCAGACTCGAGTGTCCCCAGCAGACGGCCGTCGAGCTGTTCGCCCTTGCGTTGCAATGTAAGCCGTCGATCCGATCGCGTGCCTTATTTTAACTGATGTTTTAGCCGAGCTCGGCGATTACGATGAGACCCAGCATACGGCGGCGACCGTTTCCGAATTCCGCTTCATTCCGAACCAGACGGAGGAAATGGAGATCGAAATCCTGGAAGAGTACAAGAGGTGTGTCGGGTTGACACCGGCGCAGGCGGAGTCGAACTTCCTAAACAAGGTGAAGTGGCTGGAGATGTACGGTGTCGACATGCATACGGTTTTGGTAAGCGGTAACGCTCGCGTTGGGCTTAGTGTAAAGAATAGAATACTGAGACAACCGTGTCGAAATTGTTCTTTTGGTAATGGTGGGCAATTGTTATTAAGGTACCACTACTTACATATAGATGGCAATAGTTTCGTTACACAAACTAGGTGTCCCTTGGAATAAATACAGCGAAATGGACGAGTTAAGTATTATTTATGCAGGGTATATCCCTGGGAGTTCAAAATGTTTCTTTGGGGAACTACAACCCCAAAAGTTTCAAAATATGTGTGCCTTTTTTAATTTTTTTCACAGTAATCTGAAGGCATTCTAACTGAGGGTCGAGCCAATAGGAGGCGCTACATTGAATCTGTAATTTGGATGACTGGGCACTAGGTGGCAGCATCATGATCATTTATTTTGACCACAGTCAACTCTGATTTCGACCATTCTGATATTTTTCCTTCAACATTGGACTTTTTGTTTATAAATAACTGAATTGTGTGTTCTAAATATAAAATACTACAGGGAGGTATCAGGTTACTGCAGATTTCGAAGGCGATTGTTACCATTCCGAAACTCTCACTTTCGAATTCACTGTGGGTTAAATTATGGGCGTTTACTGAGAGCAGTGGGTAATCCAGACCCTCCACTTACCCTCTTTTGACATTTCGTTCTTCAGGTGTTTCCACCCGAAGTTTTAACTTCACGTTAATTACAAACGATTTGTCCGATCAGCACGGGAAAATTAAAACTTCTTTAATTTCACGGCTCCCTCGCATGCTACAAATCTGGAACATGACTTAAACATCCTGATATTTTAGCGCGCTTCCACTGACACTAAACACAACCTGATCACACGCCATTTACTGCAACATATTTAATTAGCTACCGGTAATTATGCCTACTTAATTAGCCAGGTTAAAATTTCTCAATTTGAAATTCCAGTAATGTCCATTGTTACTTCCGGGATCTGGAACAATAATTTAAATATCACCATGGGATCGGTTACAAACCTGCTAAATTGCTGATCGGTGGTTAAAAACGGTGTTGTGTCGATTCACAGATAGTAAGCGTCAATTGACAGATCGCAAATGTCTATTGACAGGTACAAAACCTGTCAGCTCATACTTTCTGCGATTTGACATCTTACAACTTGACGTCATTTGCCGCTTATTTTTCAATTTACTGAATTTTTTGTAGCGAAAAATAACTCAGTGCGTTTAATTACTCTGTCCTTGGCCAAACACGACTTCAATTTATGCAATGAAAACGCCTGTAGGCTGTAGGTTTTAAAATCTTTTGGTTGCACAATAATTCCCTTCAGTTAATAGGTAAGTGAACTTACTTTACTTAATTTAAGTAGTAATTTGAGGTTTGATTCTTTTTGTTGACTGCTTAATTCGTCATTTTAGAAGTGTTGTGTAAACTGCGATAGACGGACGTGTTGTGATGGGCCACCCTGTGTTAGATATATTATTTGATTTCGAGGTCAATGTTTTGTATCAGAATTAATGATGTTTTAATTTGTTTTGGTAATTGTACATTTAAATTACGTGTTAAAAGACATCTGGAAATTATTTGTAAAAGTTTATCTCATGTTTTTCTCGGATCATAGATAAGAAGTTTTCTTATCGCTGTAAAGCTAATTAGTTTCAAGATAAGGACGTGTTATCGCCGAAGTTTAACACAAGTGCAGATTATTTTTGTAAAGGAAGGAGGAGGCAAATTTTCTTCTGTAAAGGTACCTGATGCTTAGCTTAGCTTAGTTTTGATACTTGACTTTAGCCGTAGGTACTTAATCTTGCCCAAAAAGCGCCATCTTATTTTCCTTTTGTCTTCGCAAAGTCGTCTCACTATGATATTTTTTACACTAACCATCGGATCTGCTTAACATCCAACTTGTAGGGAAAGGACGGCATGGAGTACCACCTCGGCCTTACACCGACCGGAATTCTAGTGTTCGAAGGCTCGCAAAAGATCGGCCTATTTTTCTGGCCGAAGATCGGCAAGCTGAACTTCAAGAAGAAGAAGCTCACCCTCGTCGTGGTCGAGGACGACGATCAGGGCCGCGAGCAGGAGCACACCTTCGTCTTTCGTCTCCACAACGAAAAGGCGTGCAAGCACCTGTGGAAGTGCGCCGTCGAGCATCACGGCTTCTTCCGCCTGAAGGCGGCGCCGCGCTCCAACTCGGCGAAGCAGAATTTTTTTCGAATGGGCTCGAGGTTCCGCTACTCGGGCCGGACGGAGTACCAGAGCACGCACCAGGCGAGGGCGCGACGCACCGTTCAGCTGGAGAGGCGGCCGAGTCAGAGGTACGGTCGACGGCAAAGTCACGTCTTAAGGGAGCGACAGCAGAAGGAGGCGTCCAAGGTGGAGGGCGCGGAGGCGGCGAGTCGCTGCTCGACGCGATCCAACGCGACGAACACGACCGACGCTGAGCCCGTTTATTGTAAAATCGCCGAGGATACGAAGTTACCCAAAGGTATGTGTGATTGACATCCTGTATCTCTCTCTCGCTAGGGGGTATTCCAGACGCCCTGGTACTATGTTCTTAGGAGGGGACAACCTGATATCCATTTCTAAAACGCACCATGTGAATCCTGAGGGCAAAAAGTGTTACCG